CAACTTGGGCTTTTAAAAAGCCCAAGGACTTTTTAAACAAAATTTCTCCCCTTGAAATTTGTCCCTTTCTCTATCATGGAGACAAATGGCCCTTTCTAATTGGTTTGGACCCAAATCATGGAATCATCCTTTATTGCTCTCTCACACCTTTTATTCAATGCATCAGCAAATCCCATGGGCTCTTCTTTCAAAATAGGACTCAAATTGGGTCCCTTCTCATCCTTTCCACAGCTGTCACCGTGGGACATGCCGCTATCATTTTTCACCTGGATTATTGCAATAGTCCCCTAGCTCCCGTTAAGTCTGCCTGTACAGCCAGAGTGACTCTTGGGATGCTATCAAAATAGAAATTAAATTATCTATCTCCAAACTTGAACCCTTACCCCTGCATCCTAGCACACTTTAGGTTTAAAAGACCTTGCAAGATGGTTCTGGCTCACTTGGTGTTCTGGACCAGCTTTCAACACATTGAAGATAAAAGTAGTCCCTTGTTTTAATCTGGATTTTTAAACCTTGTGCAGTTTCTGCTTATTATGTTTATTAGTTATTTCTATTTCTTAACTTCTCCCAACTTTTTTTTTCTGTTAGATGGTCTTCTACCTTTTTTAGAAGCTGAATATTTCCCCAAATTTGTCTTTTTTGTCTTTATACACACACACATTTGTGTGTGTGTGTGTGTGTGTTTATGTTTGCACCTGTGTGTGTACATATGTGTGTCTATACAGAGGTTTTAATTATCATGAGTCAAATTTGTCAGTCTTTTCTCCATGATGTCCGTGTTTTGTTTCATGTTTAGAGAGACCTTCTGCTATAGATTAAAACAAAATACACTCAAGATTCCTTCTGACATTCTATGTTTGGTTTTGCATATAGATCTTTATTTTCTTCTGGAATTTATTTTGGCATAAGAAGGTAGGGGTACAGCTTTATTCTTCTCCCTAAAAGACAGATGTCCCAAATGACATTTATTGAATAAGCCACATTTTCCCCCACTGATGTAAAAATGTTACTTTTATCACATGACAAATTCCCATATGCATTTGGGTCTATTTCTGACTTCCTGGTCTTTTTCTTATCTATCTATTCCTTCCCGCACCCTTACAACATTTACTGATTGTTCCTTTATAATACTTTTAAAAAAAATCTGTTAGATCAAGTTCACTGTTATTTCTTTTACTTGTAGACTTTCCTAGCTTATCCTTTTGGAGACAGCTTTACTGAGATACAATTTACATACCATGTAATTCCCTCATTTTATGCATATAGTTCAATAGATATTATTATAGTCACCAAAATCAAGTCAATTTTAGAATATTTTCATCATCTCAAAAAGAAGCCCCATCTTGTTTAGTTATTTCACCCTTTCCCCATCCCTCAACAATTCTTTTGTCCCATAGGTTCACCTATTCTTGATATTCCATACATGTGGAATCATATGTGATCTTCTGTGAACACATATAATGTGTGATCTTTTATTTTTACTTAGCATAATATTTTCCAGGTTCATCTATGTTGGGCCATATATCAGTACTTCATTATTTTGTATAGTCAAATAATATTCCATTTGCATAGTTATGCCACATTTCGTTTATCCATTGGTTGATGGACATTTGAGTAGTTTACACCTTTTTTTTGTTAAATATTTTTTTAGTTGTCAGTGAATCATTTATTTATTTATATGTGGTGCTGAGGATCGAACCCAGTGCCTCACACATGCCAGAGCTCTACTACTGAGCCATAACCCCAGCCCCCGACATCCTTTGACTAATAGGAATAGTGTTACTATTAACACTTATTTTCAATTCTTTTGAGTATATACCTAGCAGTGGAATGGCTGGGTCAGGTGGTAGTTTTGCTTAACTTATTGAGGAACCTTCAAACTATTTTCCACAGCCTGTTGCTGTGGAATGGTATGTTGCTACTAGCAACGTATGAGGGCTCCAATTTTTTCATATCCACCTCAAGACTGGATATTGTCTGTTGTTGTTTTTATTTGTTTTAACTGTTGTGACTATAGTGAGTGTGAAGTGGTATCTCACTTGTGCTTTGATTTTTTTATTTCCCTGATAACTAGTGATACGGAGAATCTTTTCATGTATTTATTTGGCTGTTTATGTATCTTCTTGGAAAGAAATGTCTTTTCAAGTTTATGGTCCCCCTTTTCTTTGTTACTGAGTTACCTCCCCAGCCCTTTTTCTTTTTAATTTTGAGGGTTTCTCTAAGTTTGTTATGGTTTGGAGGTGAGGTGCCCCCCCCCCCCAAAGCTCATGTGTGAGACAATGCAAGAAGGCTCCGAGGAGAAATGACTGGGTTATGAGAGTCTTAATCCAATCAGCGAATTGATGCCCTGATAGGGTTTGATTGGTAACCAAAGTGGCAGGGAGTGGCTGGAGGAGGTGGGAATTATGGGCTGGGCTTTTGGGTATATATTTTTATCTGGCAAGTGGAGACCTCTCTTTCTGCTTTCTGATCACCAGGCCTTAGGCCACAGTCTTCTGCCGTAATGTCCTGCCTCATCTTAAAACCCTGAGGAACGGAGCCTGCTGTCTGGGGACTGAGACCTCTGAAACGGTGAGCCCCCAAATAAACTTCTCCTCCCTTAAAATTGTTCTGGTGAGATCTTTTAGTTGCAGCAATGAAAACACTAACTAAAACAAAGTTGCTCAGGGCCTTGCTAAGTGGCCCAGGCTGGCCTCAAACTTGAGATCCTCCTGCCTCAACCTCCTGAATTGCTGGCTTTATGGGCGTGGGTGTGCTACAGTGCCTGGCTGACATTTATCCTTCTATTGTTGAGTCATAGGCGTTTTATATTTTTCTAACTACTCTTGCATGTTATTTAGAGGTGAACCTTCATCAAGAATGGCTAGAAGCTTTCATGTAGCTTAAAGGCAAAAAAAAAAAAAAAAGTTTAGTCTAATAGAGTCTAGAGAAGAAAATTTCCCCAATGCATCTCTCTCTTGAATGTGGATGCTCGGAGAAGACGTGGCCACATGTACTGTGAGACTGATCTAAACCTCACTGGCATTCATGACGCAGGAAAGGGAAGCACAGTCCTGTCCTTGTGCATGGTGTGAACCTCAGGGTTATTAATTACTCTTTGGCATCACTTACTTTAGTGTATCACTGTCTCAGAGAATGAGGTGGAGAAGTGCTTTCCAAGATTAGCATCCCACGTTGGCCAGAGGTGATTTGGCAGTTTCCTGGGGTCTCCAACTCACACCAATTCTTCTAGCCTGACCCCAGCCACGCACCTGCACCTGTGTGATTTGGGGGCTTAATCAGGGAGAAGTGTGGCTTCCCACATGGTTCTGTCCCTGGGGAGTGTCTGAAAGGGAATCAGGCTTTCTTAGGCCAGTTGCTTAATCCTTGGGGTATCTGAGAGAAGCAAGCACTTTTTAGATCAATATGTTCAAAGCCCATTTGATGCCAACTCTGCCTTGGGCTGGAAAATAGAGTGTTTGTCCAGCTTCTTTCTCTATGAACTTGAACCCTTGTAATGAACTGCTTGCATTTTCTCCTCCGGGAAAGCTTGTGTGTATGTGTGATTATGATGAAGGATCGCTTCAAAACTGGGCACCCGTGGTGCTTGGTCCGTATACAACCGAGTTTCTCAAGTTTTTAAAAATCGCTATCCCTTCCTCCCCTGAAATCTTTTAGACACTTTTTCCTCTATTACCCCTCCCCCCCATGAAATTCCACAACCCCCAATATACTGTATATTTATGTGCTGTATGTAAATCTGTGCTTTGTACACAAGAAAATAAGATTTCCCCTCCCTGGGGAGTGATATGCCTCTACCAAGGATGCATGTGCTATGGTTTAAATGTCCCACCAAAATTCATGTTGAAATTTAATCCCCGGGGTGCTGGGGATATAGCTCAGTGGGTAGAGTGCTTGCCTTGCATGCACAAGGCCCTGGGTTCAGTCCCCAGCACCACCACCAAAAAAGAGAGAGAGAGAGAGAGAGAGAGAGAGAGAGAGAGAGAGAAAGAAAGAAAGAAAGAAAGAAAGAAAGAAATTTAATTTAATCCCCAATGTGAGGTATGAACAGGGTGCAAACTTAATCTGACCGTGGCATTCAGAGGCAGGACCTTTGGAAGGCAAAGAAGGTTAAATGAGGCCTGAATGGTGGGGCCCTCATCCAATGGGTCTGTGTCTTTCTAGAACAGTAGGAGAGACCTGGGCTGGGATGTGCTGTCCATCTTACCATATGGTGCCTATGTGGCCTTGAGACTCTGCAGAGAGTTCATGCCAGCAAGAAGGACCTCATCAGATGTGCAGCCACCTGGTTTTGAACATCCCAGCCTTTGGAACTATGAACCTAACAAACCTCTATTCTTTATAAGTTACCCAGTCTCTGGTATTCAGTTATAGCAACAGAAAAAATGGATCAGGAGGACAGCATGCTTAACAATAGTTCAGAACCAGTCCCCTTGGCAGCCTCCCATGCATAAAAGCCAGAAGCTTGGGCTGAGTGGAGACTGTAGCAAATGGACAGGCCCTGACTTAGTGATGTCAGATCTTGGAATATCTCAGGAGAAGCCAAGAATCTGGATACATTTGCACTTAAAGCATTGGTTTTAATGACACAGCAGCAATCATGCTGTGTAGACCAAACAAAAAAATTCAAAACCCAGATACTCTGGAGACTAGCTGGTGTGGTTAGATCTAGTTAGTGCCCTTTCCACCTAAGGAGTCTCCACCCTGCCCCTCAAGACCCCTCCTGACCTCTCCTCTCTGGGAGTGCTTTGATGCCTCTCCCTGCCCTGTACACCAGCCCCCAGACTGGGGCCATCCGGGATGGGGACAAATGCCCCCACCAGGTTCCCAGCAGGACCTGGACTCTGCTTCTGAGCATGCACTCAGCAAAGAAGAGAGGGACAGGGAGGGCAGCGCTCTGGAGGAGGAGTGGGTGGCGTATCTGGTGCGGACCGTGAGAATGCAGACCCGAGGGAGGCTTCAGAAGGCGGGGCACCGGCCTCGCCCAGCCTCTGCCCTGGGGACAGCAGAATCTGGGCTGAAACAACCCGTTGTCCACTCCCTCCCCTCTGACCCGCTACCCCGGCTATTGTTTTCTATTTGCCCGGGTCGTAGGTGGGAGGCGAGGAACGCTGGGGTTCTGGAGCCTGGCTGCTCTCCAGCCCGGTGGTGGCCTTCGGCCCTGGGGTCACTGGGCGGCCCCGCCTGCAGCCTGGAGGAGGGACCGCCTGGGTCCGCCGGCCGCTCGCTCGGGTCCTCCCGCCTCCAGCTCGGCCATGGGCTCGCGCGGCTCCCACGCCGCTCTCATTCCCGACGTGGACAGCATTCGCCGAGAGACCGGCTGTGAGTGCGCCCGCGCCGCTGCCTGGGGAGGGGACAAAGCCAGGCGCCGGCTGGGGACAGGAGGAGGTTCAGGGCAGCGTAGGGGACCCCAGAACAGGGCGTGATGGAGGGATGGATCACAATCCGGGAGTGGGGGACCCCGGGGCTGGGAGACCTGGACCCAGGCGCCTGGGAACAGGGGCGCGTCAACTTGGGGGTCCCGCGTCCAAGTGGGAAGATGGCCCGGGTTCACCCGCTTGGATTCACCCAAGCAGCCAGGTGTCCTCGAACCTGGACGGAGGCTGAAGGCAGAGCTGACCGCGGATGGACGGGGGTGACTTTGATCCCTTGGTTTCCGGGAACCCAGCGCTGAAACGCGGGGAGCCTGCCCGGGTCTCCAACCTGGCGCTTCACTGGGTCTCGCCCAGCTCCTTCCAACTCCGTCCCTCTGCCCCGGGTCCGAGGATAAAGACCCTGCCTCCCCTGGCCGCCGGGAGGGGGTTTCCGGGGCGCTGCCCGCGGCTCTGGGGTTCAGCCACGTCCCGAGCGCACTCGCCAGGTCACCCTTCCTCCTTCCCTCCCGCAGTCTCGCAGGCCAGTCTGCTCCGCCTCTACCACCGGTTCCGGGCACTGGACAGGAACAAGAAGGGCTACTTGAGGTGAGGGCAGGGGGCTGGCCTGATGACCTCTGCCCCCACTCCCCTCTCAGACACCACCTGCCGCCTTTGTCCCAGCCACTGTGTACTTTGACTTTACAGCCGCACGGATCTCCAGCAGATCGGGGCGCTGGCTGTCAACCCCCTGGGAGACCGGATTATAGACAGCTTCTTCCCCGATGGGTGATGCCCGGTTGGGGGCGAGGAGATGGAGCTGGAGAAACCTGCTTGTGGGTGGGTGGGAAGGTGGGGGAGGTCAGAGACAGAGGCAGGTGGCTCGCCCAGGTGACCCTTGCTCCGCCCCATCCCACCCTCCAGGAGTCAGCGATTGGATTTCTCAGGCTTTGTTAGGGTTCTGGCTCATTTTCGACCTATAGACGATGACACAGGAGTCCGAGACCCCAAGCAGCCTGAACCCCTCAACAGCAGAATGAACAAACTTCGCTGTGAGTATTGGGGGGGCCTGCCGGAGTGAGACCCCAGAATTGAGCACACAAGGGAGAGGCCCCAGGAAGCTCCCACTCCCTGTGTGAGCCTATTGATGATCTAGGCCTCCATGGCGACCAGAAGAGAACCAGGTAAGACCCACCTTCCTTATCCCCCCTCTGCTCTCTTCCCAGTCGCCTTTCAACTCTACGACCTGGATCAGGATGGGAAGATCTCCAGGCACGAGATGCTGCAGGTGGGAAGAAGGCAAATGCAAACAGACCTGATGGGTGAAGGGGGGATGGTTGGATGGGGCTGCGTGCGGAATGGGGTGGGATGATCCGCCCATGGGCGGAACATGCACATGGGGTGGGAAATGGAAAGGATGGGGTTGCAATAGGGGTTAGTTGGGAGGCGGGGTGGGTAGCCGTTGGGTAAGAGGTGAGGAATCAGGGATTCTCAGCAGGCAGCAAATTTGCCTTCTGAGTGAGCACTTGGCCTTAGCTGGTGACATTCCTGGTTGTCACAACTGGGGGAGAATGTGCTACTGGCATTGGGTAGATGTCAGGAATGCTGCTCTGTACATTGGATAATAGTGAGGATAGCTTCCCACAACAGAGGGTGGACTGGCCCCGAATGTCCACAGCGCCAAAATCAAGAAGCTCACCTCTCTTCAGGTGTGCTGAGGTGGTGACAGAGGGTGAGCTAGCGATGGACGATCTGGGGTTTTAAGGTTGGAGTAATGAGTTTGGGCATATTGCTTGTTGCTGTGAGTGGTGAGGGTTAGATGGGGGATCAGATGCCCAAGCCGTGGGGGGAATTATTAGGGGAGACGGTGAGGTGGGCAATGGATGAGAGATCATGAAATTGGGAGTCCTTTCAGCAGTGAGTTTGGGGGATGCACGAGTACACTCTGTGCCTCTTCTTTATGGCTGCTGCTTCTACCTCCAGGTTCTCCGGCTGATGGTCGGAGTCCAGGTGACAGAAGAACAGCTAGAAAGCATCACGGACCGCACGGTGCAGGAGGCGGATGAAGATGGGGATGGGGCTGTGTCCTTCTTGGAGTTCACCAAGGTCGGGCATCCTGACCCCCTCGGGAACTGGGGAGTGGACTTCCTGCAGAGAGATGGGCATGAGACATAAAATAGAAGAAGGGCTGAAAAATAAGGGGTTCCCAGGGAGTGACCGGGCTCTGGGGAATGCTTAGAGCCCTGCGGGAGGAGCGGGGAGGCATGGTGGCCTGTGATTCGAGACTTCTGACGTGACCACCTCCATGTCTCTCCAGTCCTTAGAGAAGATGGACATAGAACAAAAAATGAGCATCCGGATCCTGAAGTGATGCTGGCCACCCCCTGCGTCTCTGGCCAGCTCCTGCAGGCCAGTCTCTGCCTGGGAGTCGTCCTCCGTCTTCATGGAGGCAGGGTCTCTACACCATTCTTATTTCTAAACTAAACTCTGGGGTCAAGGAGAGAAAGTTGGAAGGGCCTATCCTAAAGCTCAGGTCCCTTGATCTCAGGTCTGTGAATCCGTCAGCCATCCTTTGGTTGCAGGTGACAGAGAATCCAATGAAAACAGCTTAAGTTAAAAAAAAAAGGGGGGATTTTATGGGCTCACATAATTAAAAAGTCTGTGTCTTCAGACACAATGGGATCCAAGGGCACAAATGATGTTGGGACTCTGTTTGACCCTTCTCCAGAGGGCTCTTCCCTCAGGATGCAGAATGGCTACCAGTAACTCCAAACTTGCATCCTTCTAGCCTCGTAACACAGCAGGAGGATTTTCTTATTCCATTAATTCTAAGCAAAGAGTATCATTGGCCCAACTGGGGTCTCATCTGGGGAATGAAACACTCTAATTGGTCAGGTTGGTGTCAGGCACTAATTCCTAGAGCCAGAAAATAAGGTTTGAAGACTCAAGATAGTGTGAGAGGTAGTGGCTTAAAGGAAAATGGGTACCATTTGGAGGAGGAGGGGAAAAGTGTGTGTGTGTGTGTGTGTGTGTGTGTGTGTGTTGTCTCTGTTCAGGCAAAACAAGATATGGCCATTACTGTCTGGTTGATCCAATGGAGGTATCTTTGAAATCTGGCCCCTTCAATAGATTTTCACTGATTTCATGAATGCATGACTGTGTAAATGAGGTGGGTGGTTTATGGGGGTGGGGAAGATGGTGTAAAAACAATAAACAACACATACTTTCCTGGGTGTGTGAAGTTATTGCGAGATTTGGAGAGCAGCTGGGTACAATGGTGCATGCCTGTAATCCCAGAGGCTCGGGAGGCCAAGACAGGAGAATCGCAAGTTCAAGGTCAGCCTCAGCAACTTAGTGAGGCCCTCCCTAAGCAATTTAGTGAAATGAAAAATAAATAAAGGAGTGGGGATGTGACTCAGTGGTTAAGTGCCCCTGGGTTCCATCCCCAGTACAAAAAAAAAAAAAAGTAATAATAAGATCTGAAGGGTAATCCTGCTGTAAAAGGTTCAGATATTGATATACATAGAATAGAGTGTAAAAGCTACGTAACACAGTGCTGCAGCCATACCTGCAAGGAGCTGCTGCCCGTGGCCTGCCTGGATCCCCTTCTGGGAAGTGCTGGACATGCCTTATGTCAGCACATGAGAATCGGTATCTTTTGGACTCTGCATTCAGTGACATAAGCTGGTAGCTTGCAACTGGCTGTAGGGAGACTATTTCCGTCACAGACATTGGCAAACGCAACAGGCCAGGGCTCTCCCATGGGGAAGCCAGTTGTCCAACATTTAACGTCACGTCCCCCGCTAGGCATTCACTACTACTGTATGGGCCAGGGTCTTTGTACCCTGCTCCCCCAGTACCTGCAATACCGGTCCTTGGGGTCTTTGCCAGACAGAGTCGTGTACTTGACCTGCGTGATGGGGATTCATGACGGCTGGAGCTGCTCTTAACCAATGACAGGTGGCAACTGGTAGCTAAACACCCAGTTATTTCACCTTTTGGGTGGGATACTTTGGAGGCCCATCCCTTATTTCACGTAGAAATCTCCAGGTTGGAGCCCAGTAGCCCACAGTTTTAACCTGCTGGTTAAAGGACCCTGTACCGGCTCCCTTTCCTCCTAGTCTCACTTGCTCCGTCCTCTCGGTCCATTCCCCGTCTCAGGATGTACTAGGACTGGTGGAACACAGTCTCTCTCTCTCTCACTCCCACGTGGCTGGGGAACTCTCTGGAACACCGAAGAACTGTTGTACAACTCCTGACATTTTCTTATTTCAGGAAGTTTGAGATCATATGAAGACTGTGAAGCGTCGGGGATCCAGGAACCTGGAATTATCTGGGGTGACAATTTGGACCTTTGCACTTTGATTCGAGTATGAGTCTGACAGATGAGCCCCAGAGTTGGAGGGGCAGGCAGAGATCAAAAGGGGTTTTGGGGAACGTTGTGATTGTTGTCAGAGGATGGTTACATGAACAAGGACTTTCTGACTAGGGATATCTGTTTAGTCTTTGATCCCGATTGAAGTCAGGGGTGGGGAATAAAAGTCACCCAGTGGCCATTTTTTTTTTTTTTTGTCGCTGTGAGAGATTTGTCTGTAGACACAAGTAGAAGGGAGGGGTATAGGGAGGGAAGGAAAAGGAGAAGGGGGGGCGGGGGGAAGGGAGATCGATTTTGAGACATTCTTTCTTTCTTTCTTTCTTTTTTGGTACCAGGAATTAAACCCAAGGGGCCCTCAACCACTGGGCCACATCCCCAGACCCCACACATGCCAGGCAAGTGCTCTACCACTGAGCCCCAGCCCCAGCCCCCACGGACCTTTTTAAATATTTTATTTAGAGACAGGATCTCGCTAAGTTGCTTATGGCCTCACTAAGTTGCTGAGGCTGGCTTTGAACTCGAGATCCTCCTGCCTCAGCTTCCCAAGCTGCTGGGATTACACACAATAAGGATTGATTCTTTATTGTTAGTTTTTTTCCCCCCTATTTTCCATCACAGTGTTTCTCCATTTCCCTGAGGGCAGATTTCATCTAATTAAAAGTTCAGAACTCTTGGCCCCATTTGACAGTCCCCGAGTCTCCAGGGAAATCTGCATTTTTAAAAAGCGATTCTGATGCTACAGGTCCACGGATCTAATTTGACCTAAATCTTCCAGCCAGGCTGCTGGTGACCACTCTTTCTACAAGGACTCCAGCGTCCATAAAGCATCGAGTACGGCCCTGGGCTCCGAGGAAAGGTCTCCCTACTTATCATTGTGTGCAGACCTGCTCCGCCAACTCCTGACTCAGGAAGGTTACCAGAGAGAGCGCCTGGGCTCTGCTCATTGTCCTGGCGGTTGGGGGAGCATATGTCCCTTAACTCTGTTAACATGCAAGTCCCCTGATCCCTGCTCCCCACCCCAGGCTCAGGAGTTTGGAGAGCTCTGTCACGCAGGTGAGGGTTCAACTCCGACAGAGATGCCCATGGATTGTTCCTTGGGGGGTGGGCTGATGACAGCCTCCATTCTATGAGCAGCAGTTGACAATCTTCACTGATTTGTCTACCACTCTCATTACTGTTGCTCTATGGTACGTGTCACCTGCACCATTATGCATTCATTACAGGCTGGGTATCCCTTAACAGAAACACCTGGGACTACAGGTGTTTGGGATTTTTTCCCCCAGATTTTGGAACATTTGCATATGTATAAAAAGATAATTTTGAGGATGGAGCTGAAGTCTAAATGTGAGGTTCGTCAGTGTTTCTTACACACCTTTTACACAGAGCCTGAAGGTACCTTGCACCTAGGTTTTGACTGGACCCATGCCAGGTGTGGAAGTGTCCATTCATATGTTGCACCGTAGCTCAAAATGCTTCAGATTTGGCGGGGGGTGGGGGGTGGGGGTATCTCCGGTTTCAGATTCTCAGGATCTGGATGTTCAGCCTGTATGTGTCTATACATCGGCTCGATTTAAAACGTACAGATTTGGGTTTGTGAAGGGAATGGCATCTCACCCCTGGAAGGTGAAAACCAGCATCAATTAAGAAGTTTGCAGAGAGAGGTAACAGAAGGACAGCGGGGGGACATCTCATCTGGAGGGTCGTTGACGGTCCTGGAATTTTCTAGAAGAACTCATCTACATACCCTGAAGAGCTGGGAGCTCCAGAGGGAGCCTTTTTCCCGGCCAAGCAGCCTGAACTTGAAGCAGAAGGTACAGGGAGAGCTCTGGGAAGAGAATCAAGTAGAAGGCAGTGACATTGTGTGGACCTCTTCGTGCCACCACTGCCTCTTGGTAGCTGATCAGGAACACAGTTAAGAATTCTGGCCTAGACGCTCAAGTGGAGGGGAGCCCTGTCATGTCTCTTGGTCCCTCACAACCAATACCAAAAAACAAAACAAAACAAAGCAAAAAACCCCCTCTGGATATTTAAGAGGAAACACACTGTCTTGATTCCTGGCAAAGACTCACCCTGACAATCAGTGTGGTCTAGGAAAAATAATTTTGAGTTTAGAGTCCTCCCAGGCCTGAGTTTGAATCTGAGCCCTTTGAATGACCTGCTGTGCATCCCCGGGCACTTCACATTGCTCCTCATGCTCTCGCTTCTGCTCTGTGGGAAAGAGCTAGATAATAGCAGCCACCCTGCAGAGCTGTGGCCCAACCCTGCTGTCTCCCAGCTCCGAATCTCTCGGGCCCATCTGGAAGCCTGGACTCTGGCCTCGATCAGCCAGGAAAAGGAATAATAGACATTTATTGGTTCTTAGAACGGAAAGAAAAGTCCAAAGGTAGCCCAGGTGAGAGAGCGTCCCAAAGGATAAATATCATAAACTCATCTTGTCTTTTCTCAACGCTGCCCTCTTCGGGGCTGGTTTTGCTCTCAAGCAGAGATCCCAATGAACTCAGTCCTAGATCTGCAGAAACAGGCCGGCAAAAGTAACAACACTCTGATTGGCCAAACCGGGTCATGTGGTCTTCCAAGAAGTGGAGATTACATTACATGCAATGTATGAGTGTCTGTGTGGATTCCCTAACATAGTACCAGAATGTTTCTACCAGAATCAGCCGGCTGCATGTTGGATAGTCAAGCAGCAGGTAACTGCATAATAATGTTTGCTTGGGGCCGCAAATAACAGAATTACCAACTAACTGTGACTTAAACAATTAAGATAATTATCTCATACCATAAAATGTCTCTGGTGGTAGTCAGTCCTAAAGTTGCTGAGTGATTTAGAAGTGTTTTTAGGGGCTGGGGTTGTGGCTCAGTGGTAGAGCACTTGCCTGGCATGTGTGAGGCCCTGGATTGGAGCCTCAGCACCACATATAAATAAATAAATAAATAAATAAAATTAAATAAAAGATCCATTGGCAACTAAAAAAAAATTTAAAAAAACAAAACAAAACAAAACAAGTATTTTTAAGGATCTAAGATCTTTTATCCTTCCATTCTTCTTGACTTTCAGTTCTCAAGCTATTGTCTCATGGCCAAAGATGGCTTTTATGGCTCCAGCCTTTGCTTCTTCACAGGAACAGTGTGTAAACAGGTGCCTAGGCAAATGACCAGGGCAGCTGAAGATAAATTCTTTCATGTCCCTCTATTTTTTAAAAAATATTTTTTTAGTTGTAGACGAACATAATACCTTTATTTATTTGTCTTTATGTGGTGCTGAGGATTGAAGCTAGTGCCTCACACATGCTAGGCAAGTGCTCTACCACTGAGCCACAACCCAGCCCCTCATATCCCTTTATTTTGATCAATGAGGAAAATATTTCTCCTTGAAGTTTGCCCTCTTTCCCTGCCATTGATAAAGACGGAACCAGAATACCTCCAGCCGTAGGGAGGATTGGAAAACGCATCTCTCTGGTGTTTTCAGAGTTTATCATGAGCGATGGGCTTGACCAACAGGGATAAGGGGGTAGGAATGGTAGTGAGGTATACTGTTGGGGTTTTGCTGAGTGTGGCTGTAAAGAACAATCCCACAGCTCAATGGCTGACGACTGCGGGAGTTCATCCTTGCTTAGGCTCCGTGGTGTTCTCTGGGGACCAGCTGGGGCTCTGTTCCATGCATCTGCATGTTGGGGGGCAGCCTTCATCAGGAGCATGCCCTGCTCATGGTGAGGGAAGGAGTTAGAGACCTGCAGAAACAATGGCTCTTCAACTTTCTGCTTGGATCTGACATGAACCTTGTCTAGACGGACATCACTGGCTAAAGCTTAGCAGATTAAAATAGCCACCATTTGACTATTATATTGGATGA